GACTGATGTGAGAATGGGTCCACCCCGTTTTAGACATTCCACAAATGCTACTATTTACCTATCCAACTAAATATATAAGAACATGGCCCAGACACATTGGTGAGAAATTCCCTTCCCAAGGCATGAACAAATGTTTGGAAGCCCAAAGGGAAAGTGCTGCTCACACCCATCTGCCATCAGAGGATGCCTAGCCTTGGGCTTTCTGTGTAATGGGCATCGAGGCTTAGTTGGAGCCAGGTCCCCACCTCTACCTCAAGGCTTCATTTGCATGAGTTGACCTGCATGGACACTTCTGTTTATGGCTGAAGAATGGAGGAGTTTGTACTACTACTTTGTGGGTGGAAGACAGGGGAGGAGGAAACTGAACAACAGAGGGGATGGTGTATCATCTGCCTACCCCGACAGTGGCCTTTGTGCCCTTGTAGAGCAATGGAAGAGTTCGGACCAGGAGCAGAGGGGCTGATTCTCCAAGAGGCTTCATGAGACTCAAAATGCAAGGAGTGGGCTTAGGGGCTCGGCGAATCTGCTCCTGCTTCTTGTGACATCCAGAAGTTGCTGGGTATGCTGGAAGATAACTGCCCTACAGCTATCAGCATCCTCATGAGGGATGTTGCCAACATGGGCAGCGGCAAGGCTCTTAAAAGCCACCTCAGGGTCACTGGACATGGGCTAAGGGAAGCCAGAGATGCAGAAGAAGGAGGAGGGGGAGACTCAATGTGAGTACAAATGATGTGGTCCTACAGGGTCTCCTGGAAACCCTTGGGAGGGTCTTTATAAAGGGAGAAGGTGGTAAGGGATTCTCTGTAACAAAAGGGGCTGAGAAGAGGAAGTTTGGGTGATTGTTATTTAGTGTGACACAGGCTGGAGTGGCCTGGTTATACTGGAGTTCCTATTACATCATTTGAACCCTGCCTGACATGCCAATTCACAAAAATAAACTCTAATCCCAGGGCCAGGGAAAGGAGCCTTTGGCTCTGGTTAGAGAAAATTCCAGTAGCTCACTGGTCCAATCTCCCTCTTTCTTATCCACCCAAATTTAGGTCGTGATTCTATAGGACTGGAAAGTTTATTCCAAACTCAGTCTGGGATAGAACAGTAAGAAGAACAGTATCAGGGACTCCATTATCCAACCACTGGAAGGAAGGGGAAGCCCAATCTGGTCTTAAAACTTGAGACAAAGTGAGGCACAAGGAAGAGGACAAGATTTGTTCAGAGTCTCCCAGCAGGAAACCATAACCTGAACCTTCCAGGGTCTGGTCTGTGGGCCAAGAGGAAAAGATACAGATATAGATTTAAAAAAAAAGAAAGAAAGAAAAAAGGAAAGGCTATCTTTGAAGGCTAGAAAAGAGCCAGGGCATACATGCAAAGTTGTTTTGATATCATTCTCTCCCTTCCTCCACCATCCACCTGCTAATGTACCGGCTCTTTCTTTCCTTCCTGTGATTAATCCCACATTTGCTCAGGATGCATTAACTAGGTCCTGATGTAGTTGTATGGCAGATTTGGCTACTGCATAAGCTGAGTTTTCCAGAAGTTAAAAAAAATCAACATCCTCCATACCTGCAAATATGGTATGCAACCTGGAATGACACCACTTAGGGCACTTACTAAGCAGATGTGACGGAAAGAACGGTAGCAAGAATACAGGTTGATAGGTGCCATTTAGATGGAGTTACCCTGTCTACAGCCATCGTCAGGCTGACAGATACTCTGGCCTCTGGGAGTGGGGTGTACTTTTTATACTTGTGCTGGAGAGTAACATAACAGCAGATGCAGTTTTGCTGAGTTAAGTCAGTCACATCCGGCCACATGCTGTATACCATCACACCCATTTATTGAGGTCTATAATGAGCTTGATTCTGGGTCAGTCACTTTACAAGAACCCTGAAGTAGGTTTTACCAGGCCCACACCTTTTATTTTTATTTATTTATTTATTTATTTATTTATTTATTTATTTATTTATTTATTGCAGATGGGAAATGTAGGACTCCAAGAACTGAAGCAACGTCACAGAGTTAGAATGTAAGAATGTGGACTGAAAACTAGGTCTGTGCGGCTCTGAGGTCTGTGCTCCTTCCACTGGTGGAGTGAGAAAGACATGGGCTCTGAGCAGTCTTCAATCCCTTACCAGGTGTGTGACTTGAGCAAGGCTTTTAACCTTTCTTTTAACCAGGAAAGCTGTCCTTTCCTGATCTATAAAACAGGCGCAAAGATGCAGCTAACTTCTGGGGATGGTGTGGGGACTCAATGGGGTAGTGTGTGGAATGCACTTGGCACAGTGCTTAGCCTGCAGTGGGCACTTGGCCCGAAGTCACCAGGCTCCTTCTCGCTTCTGTGAGGCCCCAGGAGAAGAAGCACATCCACAGAAGACAGCTCTCAGCTTTGCAAGCAGTGTTTCCATCCTAGGAGAGGGAAGCTCTTCCCTCTGGGAAGTCACAGCTGCATTTGAATTAAATGCATACCTGGATGGTCCAAGAAATTGAAGCCATTCTTTTCTTGCCATGTGATTTTAAAACATCACCTAACCTTTATATAGTTTTTCCTGTGGAATAGCTTGAATAATCCATGACTCAGACAGGTGTGTTAGGATGATAATTGATTTTTGTTCTCCCACAGGTGAATTAACCATAAAGTGAACTCTTCCTGGTAAGATGAGGACTGTGGCAGGATTCTCTAGCAACTCATCTCTCTGCTTTCTGGACCATCATCTGTGACCATTACTGTGTACTGCGGGACAGAGTGTTAATTTGAGTATGTTTTGGAGCCAAGAATCATTAGACAGGTAGAAATTTGATTCGAGTGTACCTGGATACATAAAATGAGTCAAAGAGAAGTGATTTTTGGATAATCTGATGATTTGCCATATTCAGACATCAATATGGATCATTGAGACTTGATGGGGTTATGCTGACTACAACACTGGTAGACTGTGTTGACAAGTAATTCACTGGTAGGGGCACCTGGGTGGCTCAGTCAGCTAAGTGTCTGCCTTCAGCTCAGGTCATGATCTCAGGGTCTTGGGATTGCTGGAGTCTGCTCCCTACTCAATGGGGAGTCTGCTTCTCCCTCTCCCTCTGTCCCTCCCTGCTGCTGGTGCTCTCTCTCTCTCTCTCTCTCTCTCTCTCAAATAAATAAATAAAAATCTAAAAAAAAAAAAAAATGACTGGTTCTCCCACTGAGCTCTATCCCCTGACAAGAGTTGGAGAAATCAAGTGATGACCATTTATAATGACTGTTTGATTACAGTCTTTGAGGCTGCCGGCATGAGGCAGCACTGTTAAAAAAAGGAGGGGGCACTCCTTTTGACCTCTGGAAAGCCCTAATGATAGCTCAGGGCTGGAGCGAACATTGTAATGAGCATTACCTACAAGTCTCCTTTGTAAATCTCTGTCCTGACAGGAATATTTCTTTCCGCTCAATCACTCTTATACGTGGGAGGGAGAGGCTGATCTACTTCTCAGCCTTTGTTTTGGCCATCAGAGTTGAATTTTGGTTTGAGATGCATGTGACCAGTCTTTGTTTGATTTGGGTATGATTAGAATTATAGTTTACACCATGCATAAAATGACAAATCAGAAAGCGGATGTAGGTCTTGTCTCCTACAAACCTCCTCTTTTAAAGAAATGGGCTCAAGAGGTAAAGTGACTTTCTCAAAGCCACCCACCTATTTAATGCTGGAGCTGGGACTAGGGCACAGGTCTGTTGACCCCTGCAGTACACTCTTTCTCCACATGGTGCTGTGTCTCTATCTCATGTAGGTAGACACATGGTCTTGTATGATGAGATGCTGGGAAGGAAACTGGCTTCTACTAGAACACTATTTCCTAGGAACTATGCTAGGTGTTTCATCTACATTGGCTTATGTTATTGTCATGCCCTTCTGCCAGAGCAAGATCACCATTAAGCCATTTTCACACAGATGGAGAGGTTAACTTACTGGGCTGTAAGACCACAAAGCTCATGCTCTTTCCTCTCGGAAGTGAAGAAAGAGATAAGGGTGGTTAAATGGTCCAGAAAGGAAACAGATGGAATCAAGCACAGTTTTGTTTAGCTATGTCCATTCACTGTGCATTTTCAGGTGGGCCTATTCCTGAGACACCAGAGATCAACCCTGCACTAAGGCAGGTCATAATGTGTCATGCCTCAGGTGACATCAGTATATAATGTGTCTGGGGCAGGAGCAAGGCTGAAAACTTCTTACCCATAAAAGTTTCAGAGGCACACAGGAACTTTAGAATTTTGATAGAGAATGTATCCCCAACCTTGCTTGAATGGAGGCTACTATGCTTCTGGTCCAGACCCTATAGCCTCCAGGATCTCTCTGTCCATCTCTATAGATACTTCGCAGGGCCTACGTGACCAATGATTAAAGCTATATCTAACCTATTAGAACCAATCCATATGACCCTTGATAGGACTTGAATCCATTACCAACTTTTCCTGGGAGAAGATGTATCATCAGGGTAGGGATATGTCCTTTCATCTTTTAGTCCAGAATGTCTAGCAGAGTGCTTGGGTCCTAGTACTTAATATAAGGGCTAATGGAAGCAAATTTGTATTGAGTTATCGCACTGGATAAACTGAATTGATTTCTAGTTAGCCCTGGAGAATTCAGGAGGGATTTTCCAGAAAAAGGTAAGCCTTTATGAAAGATTTGAAAAGGAGGAGAGGAGTGGAGTATACAACTTCCACCAAGAGGAGAAAGCTAATTTCTACCGCAATAGCATTTTAGAAGGACTATTTAAGTATCTTTATGTTTCTACCACTATATCCCTCTTTCAGGGCCCTTCTCTGAAGAAGTTTCAGTTCCATCATAGGCCACCGAGAAAATCTTTCTGATGTCTTTCTGAGTCCTCTTCACCCTGAGAGAAAGGCAGGTAACAATGGTATTCAATTTTTTAGGGGCATAGAACACCAAGGATTTAGCTATTAATGTGGAACTACTAAGAAAATGTCTCTGAAGAATTGTTAGAATAAATAATCAAACCAAACACTTTTGTATCTAGCACAAAACAATGCTGAATTGATTTACTCAGACATTATCAGAGCAAGAAAGAATAACATTCTGGTTTTAATGGCAAAAGGAAAAAAAAAAAAGAAAGAAACCCAAACTTTGTATGTGCTGGTGACACTCTTGCAAGTTGTTCTTTGGGATGTAGTTTAAGAAATAATTTGCCCTTGTGTTAGGGAGAAATAGGACTGCAGAGGCTTTTGTGTAGGAGAACTGCCCAGGTGTGGGGCTGCATGGAGGCTCAGCCAGGTAGCTAGCCGGCTGCTGCAGCCTTGGCGTGGCTCCCGTCTGGCCCAGAAGACACTAAGAACACTGCTGGGTGAGCTGCCATGAGGTGGTGATGGATCACGTCTGTGGTCTGATTCCTGAGGAGCCATGGATTCACTGCAGCGTGCCATGGCCATATGTGAGCCCAGGCCACATGTGAGGTTCTCCTAGGAGAAGGAGGAAGAAGCCACATGACATATCTTATACATCTTTTATTGCAACAATCATATTTGAATGAGCCAGAGTCTGGGCTTTCCCAGACAGCACAGTCTGCAAGAGACATTGCATCTTAATGGCAGGGGCATTGGATTTTGGGAAGCAATAAAGTGTTGACTGGCTCCTGAAGTTGAACAACTACACAGTCTTTACCTCCTGAAGGGCTCAGAAATGAGAGGAGACAATTCTGAAGTCGCCCCATAGGGTGAATGGAACCTTAGAAGCCTTGTTCAACCTTCTAGGGTTTGCAGTTCCACTGCAACAGCTATGCCAAATAGTCTGACTGAACCCTTCCAGTGGCAGGAAATTCACTTCTCTGTGGCATCTCACAAAGCTAGATAACTTTTCCAATTAATAGTCCTTCCCAAGAGTCTCATTCCTACCTTTGCATGCTGGTTCAACCATCAGCACATTTTCACTATCAAGAACTTCATGGCTCTCAAGAACCTCTGTGTTAGAGATGGACCTTTCTATACTGTGGGGGTTCCTATAGTTTTGGAGGGCCCTTTCTATAACTTAGGGACCTTCTTTCTCTGTGGGTCCTTTCATCTTTTCCACATATTTTTATCCAATTGTCCTCAACCGTGACTGCACATTAGAATCAACTAGAGAATTAAAAAAAAATCCTGATGCCAGGCCTCACTAAATCATCCTTTCTGGGGGTTGAACCAAAGCACTGGTATTTTTAAAGCTCCTCAGATGATTCCACTGTGCCAAGTTTGAGAACCACTTGTTCTCTTGTTCACAGAATCTGGTTAACCTCTTAAAGGTCATGCTGTAGAATAAAACATCCTAGATTTGAATCCTGACTCTGTCACTTGGGCAACTCTCTGTGTTTTTGTGTTCTCATCTGTTTTTTAGGGATAATAACAGTACTCTCTGAAAAGAGTTGTCAAAAGAACTGCATGAGGACATATTAAGTCTAGATGAATCTCTGGCATCTAATAAGTGCTCTATAAAGTTTGACTCAGAGCCTAGGACAGGGCCTAGCAAATGTTAACACAATGTTTGTGGTCTTACCATGAGCCAAGCATTATCCTACGTACTTTACATGTACTAGTCAATGCATTTTGTTGCACTGAAGACATAAGCAAAATGTGTCTTCAGGACGCCTCTACATGGTAGGGCATATTGTCCCAGACTATCTATTTAACTTACATCTTAGTGAACAACCTACATCTCTTGTCATCTCATGTATCTTCTTGCCTCCCACCAAAATCCCTCCTAAAGATCTTCTATGAAAATTCTATACACTTCCAAAACATCCAAGGTGACTAAATTCAGAGCTCCTCAATGGTCAATCCAATACCTTTTGTTGCCTATTGTCAAACCCAGTGTTTATTAATGAGCTAGGCATATAACAGATGCCCAGTAAATTCTTTGTGGAATGATGAAATTAATCTTGTAAAACTATGCTAATATATTTATGCAAAAGAGAAGGAGAAAGACTGAATTCCTGTGAATGGTGAGGTAGTGGGGATGCCGACTTATGTGCTAAGCATTTTTCGTGCATCATTTTCACAACTGTAGGAAATGAATGTTCAGGTAATCTTTGGCTGTGTAATAAAGTACGCCAGAACTTAGTCTCTTAAGGTAACAATTCTTTTGCTTGTGAATTTGTAATTAGGTGGGAGCATAGCAGGAATAACAACTCTGCTCCAAGATGGCTCAACAGAAGACTGGAGTATCTACCTTCACTCCAGCCATTATGGAACCACCTTGGTAGCCTAGACTCCTCACCTGCAGCCCCAGGTGGGCTCTGGGTTGGATGGGCTGGAATAGAAAATCTTGCCAGGAGAATGCAGCTCTCTATCTCAGCCTCTCTACTCCCCATTCTAAGGGGAACTGTGTCTGTGCTTGGGGAGAAGCCAAACCAAGCAAAAGATTTCAACAGAGAACGGAGGAAACACACCCACTGAGGTTCTCATAGCAACATAATCACGCACAGGCAGCAGCCTATTTCGGTGGGAGCTTGTCTCAGCTCCCCTCCTCCCTGGTTAGTCACAGAATGGATGCACTGCACAGGCAGAAGCAGTGTGGGGTGAGGTGGGGGGAGAGTGTTGAACTGAAAGTCAGGAAGCTGGGAAGCTGCTCTCAGATGTTCCCTCAGCTGGCTGAAGGATCATGGACAAATGTCCTCCTTTCTCTGATCTCAGGGTCCTTATTTGTAAGATTTAGAGGACCAAAATGCTGTGAGGATCCTTTCCTTTCTGATTTTCATTGATTGTATGAGTATTGAGACTCTCATGGTAGAGGATGAGATGTCTCAATCTTTTGATTCTGAGAAAGATGCTAAGATAAGATGGGGTTCAAGAAGGTAAAAGTCATTCTTTAGATTCATCTCATTCACTCCCCTACAACTTTCTGCATGTTGGCAGGATGTGAAAGGAAGGAGGATGACCAGGTGTTGTGAAAGATTTTGCTCCCTCACCCCCAACACTAGTCAAGGTCTGTGGTCTGGGAAAGGAAAAGGTTAAGGAGTTAGGCTCATTCTTTCATTTACATTCACTCCTTCCACGAGACACACACACACACAGACACACAGACACACACACAGGAGCCCGTTAGCCCAAGCCTGTTGCCCATTGTCTTTTCACTCTTTTTACTCTCCACTCCCACTTCTCTCCCTCCTCCACTTATTGCAATGCATCCTCTCTTTCCCCTAGGATCAGGTGATGGAGGCATCTTTAGATTCTGGCCCATTTCTTCAATGGACTCTGAGGTTAGTCGAGGACAACCAGGCTCACATTTCCTGGCTGTCAAAGGTGATGATAAAAACAAATAGGGCATGCACGTGGGACTGATCTCCCTATGTAAGTACAGGGTTGAAGTGAAGAGAGCCAGGGTGCTCAGGAGCATCTGTCAGGTCCCTGTCCTTGACTTCTGGGTTGAAAGCTTGAAACTGCAGCTGTCTTTGAAGAAGTCCAGCCTGACTGGCCTGTTGCAAAGGGAGAGACAGAGTGCCCCCGCCCTTGTTCTATTTCCCACCCGCCTGACAGATGGCCAGTAAGACAGAGAAAAAAAGCTCTCAAAGTGAAGACAGGAATGCATTGTATAAAAATTCACACCCCCTGCTGCCGCCCAAACTCCCTTAAAAAAGGATCAAGAGAATCCTAATGGGTACGTGACATCCTCCCTCTCTCCCATAAAAGGGACTTCAAAATCTGGTGATGATGGGGGAGGGGTGAGGAGGGAGAAGAGAAATGTGTGGGCAGGGGGCTGGTAGGGAAGACTGAGGTAGGGGGAACAGGACTGCAGGCTCATCCATTTGACTTTCTCCTATCTTCCCAAACCACCTCTGGTTGAACCTCTGGCCCAACCTCTCAGCCTAATAGAGGCTTGGGGCGCCAAGTGCCTGGACAGGGTCAGTGGGAGAAAAGGAGAGATGATAGCACACTTAGTCCTAGAGTTGAAGGAGTTAAGGACCCTCCCTCGCCCAGACACCCACCCCTTCGCTCCCGAAACCGTAATTCGCCAAGGAAGGAACCAAGAATTGACGGAGGAGCTGGGGAGTTGGGGGGTGGGGTGGGGTGGGGGCGAGGTAACTATGGCCCAATCTTGCCCAGAGCTTGTCCTCGGTGGGAGGACGAACACTCGGGTCTAAGAACCTGCAAGAGCCCAGCTCCGGCGGCCCGCTTTCTCCGAGCCTCCCGCGTGGCCCTGCAGCGTCCACGCGGCCCTTGCCCTCTCTCAAGTTGTGCACAGCGCCCGGCAGTGGAGGCGACCAAGAGACCCCTGGAACCTGGGGGAGGCGGCGGGCCCGGGGGCGCTGGGGGCCCTCCGTCTGCGCCCAGCCGCCGCCTGCTCTACCGAACCTCCTACCCCGCCCCCACTCACCCGGCTCAGCCCCTAGGAGAGACGCGCAGGAAGCGTGTTGCTTCGCCCAGCCGATCTGCAGAAGTTGAGAGGAGTTGGTGGCTGCCTCCGGCCGGCCGGACTTTGCGAGCAGCCGTGAGAGGAAACGCCGCCGCTGCCGCGGAGCCTTCGGGGCTGCCTCCCTCCAGCTTAGCCCGCAGCGCGGGTGGAGAGGGGCGGGGAGGGGGTCGGGTGCGCGAGAAGAACTTGAAACTGTGTGAAGGAATCCGAAGCAGATGAGAAGGGAGGAAAATAAAACAAAGTGGAGACTGCAGAAAAGACTCAACCGTAGTTGATTGTATCGGCTGACGCTCCAGCAGAGGGGCTGGGTTGGGTTTTTTTTTTTTTTTCCTCCTATTCTCTCTCTCTCTCTCTTTTAAAGCTACACCAGCTCTCTCTTTCTCTACTATCTCTGTATCACCAAACCCTTGCTGGCTCTTATGGGCATGAAACACTCCTCCCGCTGCCTGCTCCTAAGGAGGAAAATGGCGGAGAACGCTGCCGAGAACACGGAGGTAAGGAGGCGAGAGGGCTGGGGCTCTCGGCGACCCCGGCAGCCCACCTCGGACCACCGCGCCGCCGTCGCTGTCGCCGCCGCCGCCGCGCCGGCGCTCTGCACCTAGTGCCAAACTTTCCCCTGCTCCATCCCGCTTGCTTCTGCCGGCCGTGTGTGTGTGTGTGTGTGTGTGTGTGTGTGTGTGTGTGTGTGTGGTGGGGGAAAGACAGTGCATGTCTCAGGTCCCCTCCCTCTTGAAAATGCAAAAGAGTCGCTCTCACCCCATCTCCCTCTCCTGCCACCCGCTGCTCGCTTCTCTTTCCCCAAGTCCCAAACCCTGGGCAGCAGCGCTCCCCTGCCCTCTCCTCTGGGCTGCATTTGGGGTCCAGAGTCCCGGATTTGTGCAAAGCTGGGATGGGTGATCCTGGGGCCACGTTTCCTCCCTGCAGTGCCTTGACCGTCTCCAGCCGCTGCCTCAGCTTTACCCTTCAGGCTCGAGTCAGTCCCCAGCTCTCAGTCCCCGCAGCACCGCGGAGAGCTCCGGGCCTTTTGAAGGGGGGTGGGGCGGGAGGTTGGGGGCAAACGGAGCCGGTGGTGGGACTTGGGCACCACCAATAGACCCTCCCGCCCAGATCCGGCCCGGGAGAGGTCTGCAGTCCTCGAACGTTTGAGCCGCCTCGGGGGCGCTAAACCCGGGTAGGGAGCCCTGGCCGCGGCCACCTTCAGAACCAGGGACAGCGCCCGCTCCTGCCGCAGCCGAGCCCGCGCGGGGTGGGGGCTGCGCGCCGTGGGGGCTGCGCGCCGTGGGCTGCAGCGAGAAATGGGTCTGCAGCCACTCGTCCCGCAGCAGCTTTGGAGGAGGTCGCTCTAGCTCCGCAAATTGCGCTCTTGCCCCCCGCCTTCGGCAGCCCAATAGCTGCCCTTTCTCTGCTCTCGAGTTGGCCTTGAGCCTCAAAGAGCCCTGCTGAGTTTTGCGTCCCGAGATTGGAGACTGTAATTCCCTGGCCTCGCACTGACCCTGCTCTAGATACAACTGGACTAGTCCGTTGGCTCTAGGCACCTGTAGTCACGAAGGGGATCAGCGTGGGCAGCCCCCTTACCTTCTTGGAGAAACGGTGCGCCGAGGTGGGGGCGGAGTGGGGTATGTGTGTGAAGATCATCCCTTACTCGGTGGCAGGAAAAAGACAGAGAGCAAACTCCCGGGCTCTATTAATAGCCTGGTGTCTGGTGGGGCTGCCGTACATTTCACATATGGTTACCCATATGCAGCGTGGGGCGGGGATGGAGGTGTGGCGCGGGGATTGTCCCTCTGTCTTGCTGGAATGCAAAAAGGTGCAGAGACCCTTCTGATCTTCTTCAGTAAGGTCTTAACTGCAGCTAACCATTACCCCACAGCATAGGCAGCAAAGCTTTTAAAATCCCCATTCTCTGAGAGACTAGAAGCAGCATGCATCTGGTAATTGTCGACTTCGAAAAACAAACACGCTCTGGGGCTTGGGCATTCAGTAGCTAACGCTGTCTCCTTGAGTTAGGGCAAAGCCAGCATGCCTACAGTCCCCTGGACACTTCCTCTTCCCAGCCAGCACAGGCGCCTAGCCTCACAGCAGAGAGCTAGCCTTACCAATCCCCTCGCATTCCTCCCTCTGATCGCCCACCCACGGAAGAGGTTGCTAAAAATAGCTCAGAGTCAAGGCTGCACTTCTGTAAAGTATTGGACCAGTGGGCACGTCACAGTCCCTGCAGCCAGGTGGCTGGAGCTCTGGAAGCAAGAAACAGCTTTCTTCGGCTCTTCCCCCCCCCGCCTCGCGGTTTCTAAAAAAAAGTTTTCTCGCGTCCCTAAGCCCCCCCTCCAACCCCGGCTGTTGCTCGGGGTCTGGGTGCAGACCCCTGCCAGATTCTGCAGTGTGCAGGAGTGGCTGCTGAGCTCCCCACCTTGGCCAGGGTTAAAGGCGTCCAGAGCAGGCAAGAGCGACGCGCGCCAGGCTATTTTTACTTGCTTCCCCCGCGGCTCCAAGCTCCCCCTTCTCAGCAGTTGCACATGCCAGCTCTGCTCAAGGCATCAATGAAAACAGCAGTAGAGGCGGCTGAGCTCCTGCGAGGAAAAAAAAAAAAACAACACATCGCATGCCTGGCACAAAGGTGGGGGTGGGGAGGGACAGACCCAGCTGGGTCTCTTTGGAGAAGAGTGAGTCTGGGGGTTCAGTTCTTAGCAACTTCCCTTGTGAGGGAGAAGATTCAGACTTGGTCAAACGTGCCCAGTGGAGGCATCCAGGCGCGTGACAATCACTTGGTTTTCCTCCAGGAACTGGCTGTTTTTTGGAATACACCAGGACTAGAGCAGTACTTCCAAAAGTGGAGGTATTATGGGTTTGCCTGCATTATGGTGAGAGAGGAAAGGACACGTGTGTGTGTGTGTGTGTGTGTGTGTGTGTGTGTGTGTTGATGGTGGTAGTGGTCCTTGTTGCTAATTCAACGTCTTTATCAGAGACTGACTCTGTACCAGGAATAATTAGATACTCCTGATTGAAAGATGGAGGCAACCCCAGGCCCCTGCCCATAAGGAGCTCACAGTCTGGTGGACCACAGTGCCCAATAATTCAGATAATTCTGTAGCACTTTTTCCTGCCTTTTGTTAGTGTTGTTTGCAAGCACTTTATCTCCTTTCCTCTTACAATAATCCTGTGAGGTAAACAAAGGTTAGTATTCATTTCATGTCCCCATTTCATAAGTGAGGACATTGGGGCTGCGAGCTCAAGCAGTTTCTGAGAGTCACCTGCTGGGCTAGGACAGCCCTGGGACACAGACTGCCACCACTTCTGACTCATTGCCCTTTGCCCTACACTTACTTCCAAAAAGATGTCATGTGTGAATAGGAGTGGGTGAGGAGTGGGGAGGACAGAGATACTTTGGAAGGGAGAGAGGCAATGTTGGGGGTAGGCAAGGATAATGGGAGAAAGTTTTTTTTTTTTTCACAAGGTAAAGATAGGGATGGACATTCTAATTGTCCGGCAGGAGGGAGAAAGTGAAGAAAAGAGCTACTCATATTGTGAGCAAAGCCTCCCTCATTAAGTGAAGTTCAGATCTGGGGCAGTGGGAACATCAAGGGCACGGGCTTGGTGGGCACAGTATGTTCTGGGTGGCCCTGAGTGCACTCTTTAACTACTTTGACTTCAGTACCCCTATGTGTTCACTTGAGCTGGTTCCCCTTATGGTACAGAGAAGGCATAGGATATAAGGAAATACTCTGACAGCCCCTGGCACAGGGTACACATGAAGCAATGTTAGTTCCATTTATGCTTTATTGGGCTCCTTGATATGCTTCTCTTCCTCAGCTAAAGGCATTATCACCTCTGCTCCCCACATATCATCAGAAACTTTCTGATACAGCCTTCTGAAAAGTCTGCAAAGCCTCTGGCCTGACTGTTCTGTCCTACTACCCTATTCAACTCACTATCAGTGCCCAAGGCAGGTCATTTTCACTTTTGCCTTCACTATGGCAATAGCCTCTCAACCGCAGGTCCTCTTCTCTAATCCCGCCTCATTATCACTGCTCAGTGGGTTTTCTGAAGCACAATCTGCTCATGATCACACATCTCTTTAAAAACGTACCATGTTGCCCTCTTGCGTACAGGATACAAGATAAAGCCCAGTTTCCCTAGTACAGTGTAAAAGTCCTTTAATACCTGCCCAGTGCAATTCTCTGTATAAACCACTTCCCACCTGAATGCTTTTGTGCATACTGGTCCTTCTGCCTGGGCTGCTCTTTCCCCCTCTTCTCTGGAAAAAAAAAATCTTTCTCAACCTGCAACACTCAACTCAAAGGTCATTTCCTCTGGGCACCCTACCGAGATCTCCACTTATCCTCCACGCTCACTCATTCTCCTTCTTCTGTGTTCTTAACACAGGTCTCATTTTTCCTATTATAAGTTGATTGCCTTTTTATATGTCTATTTCTTCAGTTAGATAATGAAATTTTTTTTTTGGTATACCTTGTTCCTAACACTGTGCCTGACGCACAGTAAATAATAAATGTTGATAAATGTTGACTGAACTGATTCATGTGATTATGCCAAGTAAGTTCATGAGCCTTCTGGGTTTTAGTCACTCGTGACTTTCTGAAAATTGGGCTTCCTATCTCCCACCCCTCTGCTGCACTTCTGCTATTGTGGACCTTTAAAACTCAAAATGAGTAAAGATTCTGGGAATCAAGTTGCTGCAGCAACTCAAAACATGGGTACATTTTGGTTATTCATATACCTATTCGATATTCTGTAATTATTGACTCTTACTATGGGGTGTTCATCTGAAAAGCAGATAAATGGATTAATCACAATGCCCAGTTATGAACCATGGGGGGATAATGGATTTTTCTGAGCTGCTGCTTGCTTTACTGATTCTTGGTGAAAGCCTGATGCATTATTTATGGTGATGACTCCCTGACTGGGGTTTTAGCACCTCAGAGGAGAGCCCCCAGGGGTGGGGAAAAGAGTTTTAGCAAAGGAGTCATTTTGGAGGCTGTTTTTTTAAAAAAAAAAATGTTCTATTGACTTACTGACCCAGAGAGAGAATAATTATGGGTTGGGAAAAATCCTACAATGGGACAATGGGGTTAGGATACCAGTGATGGCTGCTCTATGAGTTGTGGGGAGCACTGAGCTGACTTCTGACATGGTGTACGTTGGTGGCTGTGGCTAATGGATTCTTCTCCTCAGGAAGTTCTTTTCAGCTGAAGTGTGTGGTTCTATAGTACAAAGGTCAGAGAATTGAGGAGGAAGAGGACGAAAGAAGGTAGGATACAGGCCCACTTCTTGGAGGACGGTCTGCATCCATGTCTCTTTCCAAAGAGTATGGGAGCTAACAACTATCTCCGCTCTAGAGCCAGACTGCTTGGCTTAAAATCTAGCTTGGAACTCAGTAGATGTGTTGTTAGGTTGAATATAACGTAAACTCTCTGGGCCTCATAAAATTGTTGTGATGATTAAATGAATTAATTCATGCAAAGGGCTTAGAATATGGTGAGTGCTCAATGAGTGTTTATGATTATTATCCGGCTAGCTTTTAGGAGTCTTGTTGAAAAAGTGCAAACCTGATGAACTCTGCCACTTCCTTGTTCCTCCAGCTGAAATGATCCATAAATGATAATCCACATCGATTTTTTCCTCCCTCAGCAAACACTGATTTCAATCCTTCAGTGAGTTCAGAAGAATTAAGAAGATACCCACATTCCCCCCCCCTGGGGAATTTGGCTTTTCAGAGTCCTAAATTGGCTTTTGGCTGTCAAGGAGGGTGAAACACAACACTCTCGTCTCCAACTCAGGAGTGGGTTTCGGTTCCTCTTCTTTGCTAACTGCAATGCGAAGTGATTATCACATACCAGTGTTGAACGTGCAGAAATCTATAAAAACAGTACTTACACCTTGGAGTCTACTGTGCCAGCAGGGGAAAAGTGGGCAGCATGACAACATGTGAACTGCCAAGGTAACTGGAAGCCGCATTGTGTTGTGTGACACACAGGCGTTATTGTACCATTGTGAACTGACTTAGTGAAAGCACAGAGAGAACACAGGCAGATAGGGACCTCCAAAAGGTCCCTCTGTCCATGCTCCCACTGCTGAACACACTTAACCCAGGACACCAAGTTGGTTGCTTGGTCTCTCACTGAAAAGCTTGGGAGAAGGTGATTTCCCCAAACCTCTTACATATCACGTATCCCGGTAGGAAGTTCTTCCAGAAGTGGAGCTCAATCTCTTCTATTGTAAACCCAGTCACCTTTGTTTATATTATTCCAAAAGGAGGTAGAAACTGTCTGGTTGCCTTTGTATTTGGGGCTGTATTAGGACTGTCTCACCCTCATCACTGGCTTTTGTTCCAAGGTATTCCAAACCCTGTGTCTCTGATATTCTGACATTAGCCTTCTCCTATGATAACTAGGAGAGGATTGTTTAAGAAGACTTGTCTTTCCCGTGTTATGCAGCCCATTGGATACTTCACACATCAAGTGGCTTTTCTACTTCACTTATTAGAATTCCCTCAAGCATCACAGCTTTCCCTAGATTTGTAATGGGTGACCTATAAGTAAAGAGCTCTTTTAAAAGTGTAATTGTATAAAAGCAAATAGCCTGATGTGTACATTTTCATAAAGTCATAGAATCTTAGAGCTGGATGGAAACTCAAATCATTTAAACCAAGAGATGGAAAATCTTGCCTAATATCACAGAGATCTTCAGTGCTGGTGTTGAGATCATGTTTACTGCTAGGTCAATGCCATTTATCCATTGGCATTTATACTTTGGCTTTGGTCCTTTAAATGTAGCATCTGATTTACTGTTCTTATTTTTGGTGCTAATTCTGTGTATGTCCTGACACGTAATATTGAAAACCAGAGTTTCTGTACATATAATCTAGGAACTGTGTATAATGAGATTGCGGTCCTTTTCACATGACATTTAAAATGCTTTGGCATATATCATCTTGTTCAATGTATGCCATCATACACTACATACATACACACATGCATTATATAATGTATGTCAGACATACATACACAACACTATGAGTTACATATTATCCCCATTGTACAGATGAAGAAGCCAAAGCATAGACGGTTAGTGTTACTTGCCCAAGATACCACAAGTAGTAAGTGATAGAACTGGGATTCAAACTCTTCTAGCCACCAAGACCCATACTTTTTCCAGTCTACCAGGCTATGAAGGCATCTGAGGGACCAGAGTAGAAACTTAAAACATGAAGAGAAAGAATGGAGAAATTAAGAGGAGAAATGAGGAATGGTGGATTTGGAAGAAATGGAAAACAAGACATCAGTCCTGCCTTCTTTTTTCCGGGCTTTCTTTCTCTGCCTCCCCCCACCACCCCGCCATCCTTCTTTTCACAGTCATCAATGCTACGCCCTGTGGGTGGCAGGGACCTGATATGACTGTGGCCGGGACAATCCTCGTTCCACACCGCCTACTCATGTAAGATATCCTTATGCCTGGAGTCCTCGCTAGTGGGCTAGGGGAGAAACTTGTCTAACACAGTA